TCATCCATTTTCCTAAGAGATAAGACAACTGTTGCTGCCTTTGTGTAAAGCAGGTAAAGACATAGACTGAAACACATTAACAACAACTGTAATTACAATGAGAGGTGGGTCTTAAAATGGCTGACATAAGGAATGTGTGTATTAATGTGCAAAACACTTGTACGGTTTACTTGTATTAGAAGTAATGACTGAAGTTACCGAATGTGTAATTCACCATAGAGTGGCTTAAACATGTCAAGATTAGAAATAAAAGGTAAACAGGTCTAGAAGATTAAAAAACAAAAGCAAAAAAAAAAAAAAATGCATAATTGACAAAAGTAAACCAGGTAGGTGTTTGGCCCCGACTATACAAGATACGGGTTTTAGAAACAAACAAGAACTCACCTGCAAATTGCTTGTCGATGGCTGATCGAGGGCCTGTGGTGAACTGCTGCGACTCACGGTCAGATGTAAATCTCCACCAGGAAGAATAATTTTGTGAGTTTTTCTCTGTAAAACTCTTTCCTGATCTTAAACATGAAAAACATCATAAGTTTACAGAATTTGTATTTCAGAGCTGCAAATTCTTTAAAGGACATACCTTCTTTTTCATTAAAGGTGACTTTATAGATGTTATCTCCAACCTTTTCAATAACTCCACAATCGCCTCCCCCAGAGTCTCTTCTTTTCTGAAAGTACCTCCTGACCCTTTCCTTCTCTCTGTCTGTTAGAGGCCTAGCCTCAAAATAAAGAGAATGGGAACATTCAGCCATTTTAAACCTTTTAACCAAGAGAGCACTGTCTGTGCTTGTTCCTGTTCTGTCAACAAGCCTTACTAAAGAATTAGTTTCACTTTCACCTGTTTTTCTCCTCTACAGTATCTTGACACACCCAGTTACAATCCGGTAATCGCTCCGTCTGGAGAGACATTTCCTGGATTGGTTTGTTGAATATTTACGTTGCAACTGTTAACAAATACTTATAAAACCACTGATAATGACTTGATAATAACCTTCATTAATTTAAAAACAAAGTAACATTCCTTTCAGAGATTTAATCAATTATGAGCATACAACTGAGTGCAAATAGTTTCTTACATTCATTGTTTTAAAAAGCTAGATATTTATCCCAATTTGAAGAAGTTTTTTGACACAAATGTTTGGCTCCCATCCTTTTTTTTTCTGCAGTTTTGACTCTTGTTCACACATATTTACATTGCGAGCCCCATGAGACATCATAGAAGAATGCAAACAAGGGATAAATGCATGTGATTATCTGTTTGAGGGTAAAGTCCACTGCTGGCTGAGGTTTCCAGAACAGGCCAAACTTCTAAAGGGATGGGTTATGATGTGGAAGTGGTGTCATGTTACAGTTCCCGCCCATACACGTTTCACTGCTTTGGCAGGAATCCATCTGTTCTATTTTTAAAAGAAGCATTTCATTTTCTAAATGAATTTATAACTAGACTGTCAACATGCTCATTAAACCGAATATTACATGAAGTGTTATGTTGTACAGGAGATAATTTGGCTGTTGCTCATATTTGAATATTATTTGCAAATTTGTGTCCAGGTTTATACCCTCCTGCTTGTAATATTATAATTACTCTGGCTTTTTTTTTTTTTTTCCATATTTCATAGTTACTTCAAACATTTGAGCAAAGAATGTTAGGAAGCTGGTAGTGTTCTCAATAGTGGTTTATTTGTTGGAAAGTTTTAAGGTATTTATATTGACTTGGAGAGCTTTTTAGCAGGCATCAGGTGTTGGTAGAGGATTTCTGCATCCAAACATTTGAAACAGAACCCTAAAGTCCTATGATCACGGTGTGCTGATGAGTCTCCATGTCAAAGCAAAATTGACATTTTCTTCACTGACTTCAGTTGTGTTGGGCAAGTTTACCAGAATATTATGAATATATTAAATAACTAGAACTGGAAATTATAGTTAATGAATAGGTTGTTTAAATCAAGGGTAAAACAATTATTATCAGTTGAATGATTGTAACTGTATTTTGCGTACTGACCTGTGTTCTTAGTCTCTTTCATAAGATGTTGAACTCCTAAAATTGATTGTTGAAATTTTAGTTGTCTTTCATTTTGACTATGGCTATCAGCAGAGTTATTAATCAACAACCAAATAAATCTGTCTCTGTTCAGTCAGATGCTACAGAAAGAAGATGGAATCAGGCTTGAGTGAAAAATAATTTTACTGTGTAAAATAAACACAAAAGACCATGGGTTAAAATACAATAGTACCTTTAATAGATACTAATGAAACAATATTATTATATCTAATAACTACGTATACACTAAACACTACTGAAAATAAGGAACAATAACAAATAAAAGGGGAAGAGAGGGTTTAAGTTTAAGTCTGTTCAAGTCTCTGTGGAATGTTCAGGTTTTAAGGTTTAATGCATTGAAAGTGTCATTTGAAACACCAGCAGATACATTTAAATAAACCCTGACACAGAGATTGAATGCTGTAAAAACAGTGAAGTCTCATTCAGTTTGATAATAAAAATTGAACAATGACCCAGGAATGCATTAAACTGTGATGAAGCTGAAAGAGAATGGACCTAGCAGCCTCTACAATGTGGCCCGGCATTAGGTAGCTAGAGCTAACGATGCTGGCCAGTCCAATCAAGCAGTGACTTCAGACCCACGTTGCTCGTTCAGTCTTTTAGTATTTCAAATAAACACAAACACCACTATCTATTCTACCAAGTCCGCCCAAGCGGAGTACTTATTAAACCTCAGATGAACAGAGGGAAGGATGGATGTTACTGTTTTGGTTCGGTGAAGTGGAAGGGTCTATCGCCTCGGTTCAGTTCTTCAGCTGATCTGGCCCAGTCCAGTCCATTTGCCCAACAGCAGCTCTCAGATAGATTTAGATTGATCCGATGCAGTAACAAGAGACTACTTGGAAAACTCTCTCTCGAATTCTGTCAATCCTATCATCTGGAGCATCATTAAAATCTCCACCAATAATCAGGAGGGCCTTTTTATTTTTACTTTGTAAATTCCTTATTTTGGATATGATTTCTGCAAACATACTGTAGTACGGGCATGTGTGGTTCCATTATGACCGTATACATTACATATTATAAAAAGGCTATTGTCCAGTTTGAACAAAATAATAATCCATCTACTGTTATTAGACTTGTACATTTCTAAGATGTCACCTGTAAATTTATTGAGAAGGAATGCAATGCCTGC